CCCCCCCCCCCTTCCAAGGACTGGGCCCAGCAGGACCCTCACCCTGGGCATGGGCCCGCTCCCACCAGACCCCGGGTTGGTAATGCTGGCCCAGGCTCTTGGGGGGCTACCTTGAGCAGCTTCCGCTGGGGTTGGAGGCTCCAGGCTGCTTCCTTGCCTCCCTCTGCAGGTGCCTATTTCCCTTTCCCCCGGGCCTTGCTTGGCCCTACTGTGAGCAGAGGCAGGGGCGGTGAAGCTTTTCTGCAAGGCATGGCCCTGACTCCCCTTTCCAGGGCTGAACCAGCACCCGCTCCCTCTGCCCTGCGCTGTGCTCCCCACGTGCTGCCCAAGTGCCTCCTGCCCTGTCCGTGCATTAGGTACAAGCCCAGACCAGGCTGGCAGCCAGGTCCCAGGCGGGCAGTGTGCCCCTGCGCAGCAGGCACACGGGAGCCGTCTCTGGCTGCCAGGACGAGCTGCCTGCTTACCCCCACGCCGGCACCTTGGTCCTGCAGCCTCCCATTCCAGCAGCACCCCCGCTCCCACCGCCTCTTGCACGCTCTGCAGCCCTTGGCTCCGGGGCAGCCACTGTTCAAATGCAGGCCTGACAGTGCAGCAGCGATTGAGGTCCAGGTACAGATGAGCTGCCAGCACCCTTCCGTGCGTGCCCCTGGGAATGGCCCACGAGGCTGTGGTGTGTGCAGAGCAACCCAACCCTGCTGAGGCCAGAGGGCCAGGATGTATGACCTGGATCAGGCCAGCACCGCATCTGCACCCCCATCTCCCCGCAGCCCCCCACCCAGCGACTCAGCAGGCAGGACCCATCCTGCCCTGCACTCTCAGGCAGCATCCAGCCTCTCCCCACCCACGCCACCCCAGCCTAGTGAATGCCCTGCTGGCAGGCCCCTGGCTTCCTGCGGGCACACAGCTGCAGCTCTGGGCACGTGGGAAGGGCTGCCTCAGCATTGCTGGGCTGAGGCAAGCAGAGGTGCTGACCTCCATGGGAAGCCCCTGCCAAACCCCAGGCTGGAGAGGGCCAGTCTCAGCAGACAGCACTGCATGCTAGTTTACACCCCCACCCTACCCTGCACGTTCTGCCCCTGCGTGCGCAGTGTCCCCCGGAGCCCTCTCCCACTGCCCCTGGTGACGTGTCCTCCCGTGGCAGACCCACGAGCCCCTCTGGCACGTGCAGACACATGAAGGGGGTGGGTCAGGCCACAGCATCTGGCCCTGGGGCTCGGTGACGCTACCTCCTGAATGAAGGGATGTGACTGCAGCAGCAGCTGCAAGCCATTGCTCTGCCCAGTGCCCCCGCTGCAGCAGCAGAGAGTGAGGCACTCAGGACAGAGGTGGCTGCCGTCTGCTCTGAGCCGGGTGCTGCCAGGCCTCCATGCCAAGTCCTGCACCCACTCCAGGGTGCTGTATGGCAGATGGAGGCAGCGTGAACGCAGCCGGGCACTGGAACACAAGGGAGGCCTGGACACTGCTTGGGGCCAAGCATTGCACTAGGAGGGCCGCGGCGCTCTGCTGCGTGGCAGGACTGAAACCCAGCGGCCACGGCCCAAGAGGGCGTTGGTTTCACAAACACTTTTCTGTGCTACATGTGCAATATATTTGTTATGAATGTTCCTGCCCCATCTGCTGCCCCCGGCCCCTCGACTCAACGTAGCTAGATGTTTTACGTCCATTCAAGTGACTTATTCTGAGTGCAATATTTCGATAGACCTGTAGTGACCTGGTGCGCTTTGTGTTTTAGAGAATCTGTGTGCAGAGCAATGCAATGCCCTTCCAGCCTTGTAAATAAAACCGGTTGCAAACCCAAAGAGCAGTGTTAGGCTTGCATCTGATTTCCATGCATATGCTGGCCCCGCAGTAGGCACCTGGCCGTAGCTGTCTCTCTGTGCAGGTAGTAGTGGAGGAGCTGCTCCCTACTTGTCGAATGCTCCTGTTAAAGCTTTCCTGCTCACCGTACTTGTTTTTCTAGACTCCTGTCTGCACAAAATGCAATAAACGATTTTATTACACCCTTCCCCATGCGCCTCATTGAGTTTTCACTTGCTGCAGCACAGACCATGCTGCTGGCACTAGAAGAGAGGATGTGTAGAGCCTGCAAAAGGTGGCTGGAACTCCTCAGTGCTGCCCCGAGAGAGCCCAGCCGCCCCTGCTGGACACGGGCAGAACAAAGGCCATACAGTACTGCTGGAGCACAGCCCTGCTGGCCAAGGAGATGCTCTTTTCGTAGAAGAGGGCAGCAGGTCAGCACAATGGCAGCAAGGAGAAGACAAGGCAGGCCCCTGTTCGCTGCCCTGTGGCTTTCAGCTGGGACAGGGAATGACTCCGCACTGGTGCCAGTGATGGCACCTGCGCTAACACTAGCTGTGCGAGGCTGGCAGCAGCAGGCAAAGCCCTTCCTCCCCTGTGATGGCAGCTGTAGGCTGTCAGGCCTTTCATACTGCAGCCCTTTGGCACAGGTCAGGGCATGGTGCTGGGAGGCCCCCAGGCAGCCCTGCCTGCTCCCAGATGCTGCTCAGGGGACGTAAGCACATGGCTTTGACACTGCAGTAGACATGCTTGACTTGCTACCTGGGGTTTGCTCCTAGGAGGAAGCTCCTACCCTCAGCTAAGCTTGTTCCCCCCAGAACAGCCACAACCACCCACCCCTATCAGGAGGGGTGGCTCTGGGCGCCCCCTGGGGCCAGGCCCTCTTGCAGGCTCCGTGTGATCCACTGCGAGAGGCAGCTTGCCCTGGACGCTTCTACTGTACCTCCAGTCGAGGAGAAGCAAGAACACAACACAGCCTTTGCCCTGCCTTTTTTTATTAAAAAGTCATGTCCTCATGTTAACAGCACAGAGGAGAACAATACAACACAAACCATCCGGGACAACCGCTGCAGTGGTGGCTCGCGCTGCCTCACTGTTTCCTTCTGCTCCCCCCGCCCCCCGAGAAGCCTCATGGCTTCACAGAAGGACATGCATTGGAAATGACCCAGCCAGAGTCATCAGGCATCCTGCCAGCAGCATGTGGGCCAGGGGCACTGCCCAAATCCCCACCCGAGGGCCCGCTGGAGCTACAAGAACATTGGAAGAAAAAACTTTATAAAACCAAAAGGAGCCTCTCAGCACTGCCCCGTCCCCCACCATGGACCAGAGCCCACAAGCAGCAACACGACAGAGCAGGGCTGAGAACAGACCTGCCCACCAGCTGATCATCTAGCAAGCTTCTAGGCTACATGCCACAGGCTGCTCATGATGCTAGCTGTGGGTCCAGGGCAGTGGGCAGAGCCTTTAGGGTCTCTGTCCTGGCCCCAGCACAGAGCTCTGATGTTATCTGCCCCAGTGCCAGCCCTAAAGGTGCCAGGGCTGTTGATGTGGGCAAGGCAGG